ACACCTGCAGTCATATTCAGGGAGGCAAATGAAGCGATCCATACAAAAATGTGTCACGAGATGTACGAAAGAGGTACGGAGAAATCCAAAATAGAAGCAAAAGTACTTTTTGTTGTGAATTCCATCGAAGTGAGTACGACAGTTGAAATCGGTGACTTGACTTGGAAGCGAAAGTTAAAAACAGAGTTGATGTGAAACGAAACTGACGGCGCCTTCAAAAGCGCAGTAGTGATAAATATCTGCAAATACGTACCTGCCCGCTGCAACAAGTTCAAGTTCATCCCCGAATTGCTTCCCGAGGCATGTCCCCGACAGGAATTCCTAAGCCTCGGAGAACCGGACAGGGGCGCCGCGAGTATAGTGCAGGTGGCCCTAAACAAATAGTAGCTGATACGCAAGAGGGCTGGAAGAAAGATCGAAACAAGTTCATCAATGTCTCCACAGTCCTAGAGCAAGGCATCAAAGAGCACAATGAACGAAATCAGAACAGTATTGAAGAAAGATACATAGAGTTTCCAGAAGACGGCAGGACATCCCGTGAACGAAACAGTGATGCTCTGAAAATTGTTGGGGATCATCTCGAATTCCTTCTCGAGTACAAAGATGGCCAGGGCAACAGAAGGACATACTATGGACAGAAACTGTATGGCGAAGTACCTCGGGAGATGATAAGAGCAGCCAAGTCATCTATATGCCAGGACGAAGAAATGAGAGTATACAAACAAACGATTGGAAACTGGGCAGTTGAAGAGTTGATGAAACAGAAGATGGCGAGTGCTGCGAGGAAGTTTCGCACGAAATCAACAAAGCATTCTGCACCAACAACAAGGTTGTTGAACCAACAGGCAAACGCAAATACGACGATACATCATAGAGATTTGGACGAGAGTCTTGGGGGAGCAGCTGTTGAGATTTTCAGCCCTGAAAATAATGGACAGAGACGCACGAGTGAAATAACGCATGGAACCGTACCACTTCATTGCCAGATTACCCCTGGATCCACGGAAGAAGCTCAAAACACTCCTTCGGTGCTGGGCGCGGAACAATCCTTTGAAAACGTAAATGATGGTGCAATCAACTTTCCCGTTTCTATGCATGCTGAATCCAGTGATGAAGAGCATCCGCAGTACAACTTTCAAGGGTTTCGAGTCCGGAACAATACGCAAGGAGATGACTTGCGCATGGGAGAGAGCCATAGTGCGCCAAGGGTTGCAAGACAATGCTCCACATTCAAACAAAACAGGCAAGCGAAGAGTCCCACTTCAGACGGCACCGATGAAATAAGAGCACTGGAAGCCCGATTGACTGAACTGAGAAATGCACACAAAGGCATTGGGATTGAGAAGCCTGCATCCACGAGGCGTGATCGCCAGTCTGTTCCCCTTGAACGGTCACGCCTTTCACGAAAGAACCTGTCTTCGGGAGGCACCATTCAAAGGTCTGGACCTACCCCGAGATCTGCCATAGTGAAACCACGTCGTGGTCGCCACCGCCAATAGAAGGATATAATTGTAAGCCTGAATGACACCGAATAACTGAGAAGAACGCTGTATAGAGAACAAGAAACGTCCAATTGTCAGTAAATGACTCTACGTACATGTATTCCTCCTCAGCGTGGTCCTCTTGAAAGAACATCATCATCATTTGCCCAATTGGGCTATTAACTATGAAGGCGCCGATATCAGATGCACAGGGCAGTAGGTGTGGAAACCTTGATCATATGGTCAGAACGGGGTCCATGGCGTAGCCAGTAGACATATGATGCAAATCTCTACGACGACCTTGGAAGTAGGCGCACGGGGCTGCGCCCGCGGCGGAGGACACCGAAGAGGCCGCGAAGGCCGCGAAAGGATCTGACGGTCTACTGAAGTCATCAAAGCAAGTTGTGCTCGAGCACAAGTTCCCGGCATGGCCCGCGGAGGCAGCCGACGCCTTCATGAGTCGCTTTTCGAATTTGGTACTCAAAATGCTTTTTGCGCATGTAGTAAAAGTACCGGCGCAAATCTGTCAGTGACGGTGGATCAGGAGAAGGGCCGTGCGGGCTAGCAAATAACACAGGTACATACACCGTTTCTTCTGAAATCTAGGTTGCAGTTCAAGCTGTCGGTCACTGGACATCGTTCAGACAAAAACACTGTCCCGAATCCCGCGCTGACCCTTGCCAGCGCGTGCCTGATGATCACATGTTCATAGTCGCAGGTGTTCGTGACGGGCATAAATAGAGAACCACAAAAGTCAGAATTAAATCAAAGAGAGAGGGATATTTCGTGCTCGTTACCCAGAGTGTTACCGCTTTGCTTTGCTTTCAAAGCAAGAAGCGAAGCTTGGGGGAAGTTGTGGCTGTGGTAGTGAAAGGTACATGCGAACTGCCGGTCAACGACGCATGCAAAGAGCGGCGCGGTGTCAGTCGCCTGGTGTTGTGGTGGGGAAGTGGGGTGGCGCGCCGAGGGGGGCCGGGCGGAAGTGGAGCGTTTGTGCTCAATCGAGAACTCGCTGTCAACAAGAGCAAGAAGAGGGCGCGATCAGAGCTGACGACGGATCGACGGGCGGATGCGGAGACGCGTCTGACGCAACAAAGGTGCGGGCGGCGTGCTGCGGGGACATGGGCACGGCCAGGAACAGGATCTGCGCGGCAGTGGCGTACGGCGCCGCGGACGCTGGGGCGGGAAGTTGGCGGGAGGATGGGAGGTGCCGGTGGAGAGGGGGGTAGATGAAGTCAAGGAGCATGAGGGAGAGGTTGGAGAGGAGAAGGCCGAAGAGGACGCTGATATGCCTCTCTTTTTCCCCACCCTACCCACCCGTCTGCAACACATGCCTCTCTTGGAATTGTGCTTTGCGTTTCGTGATGGCTGGGATAAGGCGAAGGGTAGTGCGCTGCACTGCATGCTAATTTTTGTTTAAAAAACGGCTTACAGTGGAGGGCAAAAATGCACCAGGGGTTAAAATCCCCTGGCAGTATAGTGGAAGAAAAATTGCCAATTCTCCTCCGGCATGCACACCATACACTTACCCCCTTGACCGCGACATTCCGGGACCGGGCTCGAACTCACGCCTGAGAACGTACCAGCCCGGCCATTTTGACAACTCTGCCGTTCTGCCAGCTCAGCTACAGCCAACAGTCTTGCTTCATCGTCATCCGCGATAAGGCGGGCATTTCGAGAGGTATTTGTATGGCTCGCACACTACGCGTGGCTGTATCTCATACCATTCTCACTGCATCGGCCCCCCCTTGATTAGTGAAAATAGAACACACACCATTCTCACTGGGGACGTAGATAGCGCGTCCTAGGTATTAGTCACCCCCTTTCATTCCTGCCCCCCAAGCTGCTGCGCCCGCACTCACGTTGAGGTGGCGACCGACGAGCCAGTCAGCGCAGCTGCCTCCCTTATTCCAGTAAAAACAGAAATCATTTCATTCTACAGGGCACCATTCCCCTCTCACAACTACGAGGCACTCATCTGATCCTTTTCCGCTACCCCCACCCCTGCGCGTCCTGCCGCGCCTGCCACCCCCGCATCCCCGCCGCCGCCAGGACCTTGCGGCCTTGCCCAACTCCATGCGCTTGGCCGCAGCGTAGCACACGCCACGCGCACGCTGTTGGGAGAGCGCATGGCAGGCCTGCCGAGACTCCCCGTCCTGTGCCTTGTCATCTGCCAGCAATCCCCTGATCCACGCACAATACACGT